CGGCGTATTCTCTTAGCTACTTCCTGCTGAAAAGGGACGCTGTGGGTTTCAGGGTGAAGATCTTCTCTCACTACTCTAAAGGGCCCCTTTGGCAGTGTAACTCTATTTCTTAAAAATCAACATCAAGTTTGGAAAAATAGAGTCAGTGAAAGAGGGGAAGACCCCAAAGAGATGAATTGATACACTGATGACAGCAGTAGACTTAAGTATGTCAGAGATGATGAGAATGGCACAGGATAGGATAGGTTCAGATCTGTTGTTTATAGGGTTGCTATGAGTTGAACTCAACTCGATGACACCTAACAATGACAACAACAACATCATGACCTTGCTTATTGTTCTGGCAGTGAGGATTTTTGGATTCTTGATTTTGTATGCAATCATGTTGAAGGATATAATCCTTGATTGTCTACACTAAGTTCCTCCTCATTTTCAGTATGCAAGATTGTATGCAAGATAGCACAGGGTGTTTATGAGTCTGGCCAGTATTTTCATTTTCAGTCTGATTCCAGGACACTGATATCTGAAATTGTCTTTACTTTAGAGAATTAGTGTACTTTTTGTTGGCATCTGTAAGCCACTCCTAGTCCTTTTAGGTTCAGTTAAGTTCTGGTGTGTTTGGTGTTTTTTTGTTTTTAATGTATACTGAGTGCTACTAATGTGTTGTTGAGTTTAATAAACAATCAGACAATTGCACTTCAATAAACGTAAGAGTTTGCATTTTTTTTTTTTTAGATGTTTTAGATTTTAAGATGTATGACTCTATAGGGAGCTCTGGTAGCCTAGTGATAAGAGCTGTGCAGCAGTTCTAAAATCACATGGGTCAAGTCCACCAGCTGTTCTGTAGGAGAAAGATCGGCAGTCTTCTTCCTTGGGTTTACCTGCCTCTGTAAACCTACCCAAAGGTCAGCTAAGGGTCGGTTCTGGCTAGATGGTTAACAACAACCACATGACTGACATGGCCCTTCATAATACTCATTATCCACCTTTGTGAAGGGACCTAGTGCAGGATCCAAGCAGGGTGGAGAAGTTTCTCTTTGGTAAGGTCACATCAGTATATAGGGCCTTGCTGGTTTTTTTGTTTGTTTATTGGTGCACCTTCTGTCTGTATATCCCAGTTAAAGGATTAGGGAGGAGATCACAGGAGATAGTGTGTGAGCCATCCTTAAATGAGTAAGCAAAAACTGTTTACTTGCATCAATTCATCAACATTTAGCTTCCAAGTTTCAGTTAGCCATGTACCCAGTTAGGAATTAAACGACTTTGAAGGAAGAGCTAGGATTTATAATTATTTGAAGTTCTTCCAGTTCGATTGTGGGAGTTATTTTTGCCATTAAGTATTTGTTTTCTGGTAATCAATGAAACTTTATTCTTTAGAAAAAACAAAGACAAAGACACAGGCCTAGGAGAAGCTGAGGCCAAGGTCACAAAACACCATTGTCTTCTCTTTGGCTTCTTAGCAGATGGAAAAAATGAACACTTTATCTTTCTGGTTTTTGCCATTCAGTTCCCCTCCTCCTTTCTTGTCTCTATTTTATTTTTTTTATTAATTGAGCACATTAAGGAAAAGACTATTTATTACCGTCTTGGATTTCAGAAGGAAGTAGCCTTATATGTGTGTGTTTAATCCTGTTTAATGGAAAGTTCCAAGCAATGTTATTGACTATCAACCAAATTTAT